TTCTCTACCCTGAGGCCTTCTGCCACTCCCCTCCACTGAGGTTCCCCCAGAAGCTGCCCGCATCCCATGTCCCTCTGGCATGACTGCCTCCCCCACAGTCTGCTCAAACAGTTCCTCACTCGCTCCCAGCTCTCCGCAGCCAGGCTTGCCAACCAGCCCTGCCTCTGCTCTCTCACCTGCCAGGTCCCTTGCCTGTTTATTGATCCAAGCAGGGAAACCTCTCTCTAAGACAGAGTTTTCACTGTTCCCGGGGGAATCATTACATATTTCCCAAAGGAGACTTCTATAATTTGACCTTCCCCCAACAGCTGTCTCTGTAATCGGTAGCAGGGCTTTTCAAAGAGTAATCCCAGACGCCCTGAACCAAGATCTTGGGTCTGGGCCAGAAATTCTCAGTGCATCGTAGGTCGTTTCTAACAAGCTACCAAGGAGAGTTTGTTGCCGTGTAAGTTTAAGAACCACTGCACTCCTCCATCACGAGGGAATTTCTCTGTAAATCCCTCCGGAGCAACCACTCTTCCTCCTTCTCTTACAGAAGGCCACCAAGCCCCACGGGCAGCATCGAGGGCAGAGAAAGTCTACAGTCAGGGCCTCTCAGAGGCCAGACCACTCCCAATTTCTGAGAATGGCAGGATTTTAGAAAGTGAAGAAATGTCAACAGGATTACAAGAATTGTGATATACCCTAATGCAGGGGTCCTCAAACTTTTTAAACAGGGCGCCAGTTCACTGTCCCTCAGACCATTGGAGGGCTGGATGATAGTTTAAAACAAAACTATGAACAAATTCCTATGCACACTGCACATATCTTATTTTGAAGTAAAAAAACAAAACGGGAACAAATACAATATTTGTATTTGCATGTGGCCCAAGGGCCGTAGTTTGAGGACCCCTGCCCTAATGTTTACACTCAATACGTATATATAGTGCAATATAATTGTGCTAGTCACAGTTTTACAAAATATAAAATTGATAGTACTCAACAGCTAATATGATCTGGTCATAGAAGACAAGTTTAAAGTCTTGTGTGATGTCCTTCTTCCCCTCCCTGCTCCCCAGTTATATCAGTGTGTGTCAGTGGCTGTGTGTTTAAGCTCATTTGGAAATAACATCCAAAGTCCACACCTGAGGCTGTTCTCAAATGTGAGGTCTTGGCAATGTGGCCCTCCAGAGACCCCCTGTGACTGGCCCTATACGTTATCACTTCCAAAGTAGACCCCCTTCCTGGGATATATTCCTAGATTTGTTGTATATGAAAAAAGTAAAGATCACTCTCCCAGAAGGGGGAAGTATGCCCCATGTCCCCAAACCACCCCCCTCCCAAGCATACACTTTTGTTTGAGGCAAATCCTGCAGACGTTACTGACCTGGGAGAGAAAACTGCCAGATCAGTGTGCACTTGTCATTCTCCATGGCGGACACCTCTTTATCCTTCCCATTCTCTTCCCCACCCCAACCCTGTCTTGATTAAACTCCCAGCCAGGTCTCCACAGTATTACAAAAAATTAAAGAAAGATGGGATTGATGCTTGGGTCAGGGAAACCCTACTGGTGGCCGTGGTAACAACTAATGAGAGATTTCCAAAGAGGAGGTGAATGGTAAGGTCACATGACCCCTCACAATGCCCAGTGACACCTGGAGGGCTAGGGTATGGTTTCAGGAAGGGAGCCGGTGGGGTTTGTTCTAGTTAAGTAAATTAACATTTTTCTTCATGCTCACCTTATTTTAATCAAGAAAATCTGAAAATTTGCAATCAGTGACACTCAATAGAGAAAAGGAGTTGTATAAGGAAGGGAGCTTAACCTCTTCCTTTGGGGCTCATTCCCACTTCACCCTGAAAAATCCAGGATTGAAATTTACAATATTTAACCGACACTTACAGTTGGGGTTGTTCTTCTCATACATTTTCTCCCCCGGGAAAAATAAAAGTACTTTCTTTAATTGGCTGCCTCCTGCACGCCCCATACTGGAGATAGAGCCCTGACCAGGAATCAAACCGTGACCTCCACATCAATGCTCCACCACTGAGCCAGGCAGGCCTGGCTAAAAGCACTTTCCACACCTGAAGGTGTTCTGCTTTCCTATCATTGTACCCAAGTAAAGCAATAGCTCCTTGGCAACTTGTGCCCAGGATAAGAAAAGCTGCCTGTCTGAGAGGGCAAGGGTCTCCAAACTCACTTTCTCCTCTCCCAGCACAGACGTTCCAGTGCTACATTCGATCATAACCATGTGGATTTATTTAGCTACAATGTTATCATCCCCATTAAGCCACAAGTAAGAGACAATTCTCTGCTTTTATTTATAACCTGAAGGGATTATTTTTGAGTTAAGGCTTTAAGAATTCAGATCTATCAGGAAAGAACAGCTTGTGTAATGAACTTCCTGTTTTCATCATATTTGGACACCGAGCCTCCTGGTTGCCTGTTATTATTACCCAGTTAATATGAACTGCCTGGGGTTTATTTTTAGCGGCACTGACTCTTATTGTAAGGACTGCATAACTGCTTTCAAAATGGGAAAACGTAATTATGGGATCTAACATGAAGTTGGGGATATTCTTAGGTCCTTTCACAAGGCAATGGCTTCAAAAAAAATGAAAATAGACCCTTTTAAATGGCTAAAGAAAACACAGTTATTTGATCCAAAATAGCCCATTGATTCTTTTACAAACGAAACACTTATTTCACAGAATAAAGTCTCATTTTTGTTTAAGTGACCTAAACCTATGACTTTATTTCTAAGTTCAGAGTAGGGGGAGTAGAGGGAGGGAAAGAATTGGTAGAGAACAGAGGCAGGAAGGGTGTCAGCATCATTTACCAAAAGAGCGAAAGAGTAAAGCTAAGCTGAGAGTACCAAAACCCCTAACTGCTGAGGGCTGAGGAATGTGGGTCTCAGTGCATCATGACTCCCACTGTGAGCACCAAACGCCTCATTCATGGGTGTGAAGGGAGCCAGCGTTCAGTGGGCTACACGGGATCACCCCCTCACGTTTGGTGGCCTGGAGGTAGTCACACACACAGGCCACTGTCTCAATGCCCACATTGTCCATGCCCCCAGATCTTTGCCCACTCCATTCCTCATTCGTTCAACAGAAATGTATTGAGCATAAAAGTACAGTAGACTCCAGGAATAAACGGATAATTACAACATCATCTTCACTCCAAGAGTGACCAATGCATTGGTAAAGAGAAGTTCAGGGGATTCTGCCAGCACAAAAAAGAGGATGCCTAACCCAGCCTGGACGAAAGGGGGAAAGTGTCCTGAAGGAGGTGACATCTTGAACTGAGTCCTGAGGAACAGGTTGGGCTTATTCTGCAAAAAAAATAGTGCCATCGGCCTAGGGAAAAGCTGAGGCAGAGATCAGATGTGGAAAAGGCTGGGGCAAGGTCAGGCAGCCTGACTGAAGTGAAGAGTCAAGGGCACGTAAGCAGAATGAAGGCTGCAATGTTAGGTGTAGGCCCTGGAAAACATAATAAAGACTTTTGCTTTTTCCTAAGAATGATGGGAATAAGTTACTGTCAGTTTCTAAGAGTGGTAATATTTAATAAACATCACTGTGGTTCCAGCAATGTATAAATGGATAAGCAGAATGCAGTATATCCGTTCAACGAATATTATTCAGCCTTATAAAGGACAGAAATGCTGACACGTGCTACAACATGCATGAACCGTGAGGACATGATGCGTATGTGAGATAAGCCAGTCATAGCCAGTATAATAGCAACTTCATTCTTTTCATTCCTTGAGGCACTTGCTCTGACCAAACACTAATCTTTCTTTCCTGACTCCTATCCTAACAGTCAGCAATCCCAGTGGCTCTACCTTTAAATTAGATCCAGAATCTGACCACTTCTCTCCATGGCAAGCCAAGTCTAAATGACCATCAGATAATCTCCTCATTAGGCTTCCTGCGCCCACTTTTCCCACATCTCCTCTCTACGGCATCCTCTCCACAAAGCAACCAGATGATGCTTTTAAAACATGTCAGATCATGTTACTGCTCTGCTTGAAATACTTCAATTTTCCATAGTCTCATTTTTAAAAGCCCTTTAAATGGCCTATATAACCAGGCTCCCTACTCCCTCTCTGGCCTCCCACCACTCTGCCCCCACACTTTGTTCCTGCCCCATCAGCCTCCTTGCTTTCCTCAAACACACCAAGCACACTCCTGCTTTGGGGTTTTTGCACAACACGTTCTCCCTGCATGGAAACTCTTCTCAGAGAGACTCATGTAGCTCTCTCCTTCCGATCTCTGCTCACATGCCACCTGGTCACACTGTTTAAAATAGCAAATTCCACCCCCATATCCAGTGCATCCTATCTCTCCCTTACCCACTTGACTTTTCTCCATAGCACTTAACACCAACTGTCATACCATGTATATTTATTTGTTTATTGTTGACTGCCTTCCACACACACACACACACACACACACAGGTTAGAATATAAATTCTGTAAAGGCAGGCAGTTCTGTCTGTTCTGTTCACTGATGAATCCTCAGCACCTAAAATGGTCCCTGGAACATGTTAGATTCACATAATGAATGATGGAAAGAATGAATGAGCAAATGAATGAATATGTTTCCAACTAGATATACTGGTGTGAAATCTACAAAAGCAATGCTACTCAATTTCCTATACTTTTTCCTAATAAGACACCATCATTTTACCCACCAGTTTTAACACATTTCTTCTTAGGATTTAGGCAAAGGTATTGGCTTAATTTAATGATGAACCTTATGTCATAATTTCCTTAAAAAATAGAGCTGTAAATGCTATAATAACATGGATCTCTTCGAGGCTTAAAAAAAAATCTATGAAGAACATGCTCATCTAATTTTGATTTTTTATGAATAGTTATAACAATGAGTAATTAATTTTGATATTTATAGAAAATGAAATGCATTCCTTCCTTTATGAAAATCTAGCACTTCAGGAACAACTAATTCTTGGAGAAAAAAAATTCTCATGGAATCATTAAAATTGGAAGCATGGTACTTACCTAAGCCATAACAGGCACAGCAACTAAATGGGCACCAAATGGTATCCTCCTTCTTGTGCCCAACTCCACTGAGTTCATCACCTCCCCTGATCTGTATGGAATACCCAGTGGATGAGTACGAGAGAGACACCATAAGTTTCCTGGTACCTAAGGCACAAAGAGAAACACCCAGTTTCTAACCTGTGTTACGAGCAAAGAAAAGCTGATGTCCTAAATCCAGAGGGAATTTATCATGTATATTTTTAATAACAGATTTTAGGTAACATAAGGCCCAACATCCTCAGCAAAGATATTTGCCAAAAAAATTCAAAAACATTGTTCCCATGGACTATACTGATATTGAATCTCATAAAGGCTCAAAGCATACTATTAGACATTTAACTCAGTGGAAGCATTTCCATCAGGAGCAGAGGTAATCCAGCCCAGCTATGTTGCTTCCTGAGACTAGCGCAAAACGCAAGAACAGAGATGAGAGCTCCTTGAAGAGGAAGGGAGAGATCGCCCCTCCATTAAACTGTGTCCCCCCAATATGATGTCTTGGGTGAGCCTAAGGTAGTGCGCAGTTATAAGTCACTTCAGGATTGAATTCCCTGACAAGTGCCTGAAGTGCCAATAGTCTATGATGTTGATTATCCATATGCTTTAAACACCAGATGTGCAGGAAGTGAGCTGACATTCTGTTGTCAGCTTCTTAAGAACCTGACTTGTATTCTTGCCATTTCATTTCTGCACAAAGATGAGCTGCAGGGGTGCCTGCAGGTGACATCAGTATTTTCCTCAAAATGGAGTTGGAACCCACTCACACACTTAGATGAACACTTTTAAGGACCCTGTACTGTAGATAAGGATTGGGTCCAAGACCTTTCTAAGGGCAGGTGTAACCAATCAACCTTTTCAACTATTTTTTTTAAAATAAGATAAAAACAACAAAACCAAACACCCTGCTTATGGCCCCAGGTGCACTAAAACCTGGTAGCCTGCCAGACGGCCTTGGCTGGGGGAAAATGCTCCTATGGACCAGAAAGAGTTGACTCCTTGGTTCAGGTCACCTGATGTTATCAACCTAATAATGTTGGAGACCCTCTGCCAAAAGCAGCGGTTTAGCTCTGATAGAGTTGACGCTAAGCTGCTCTTTCTAACAATAATTAGTCAGCAGGTTCGGCTGCTTTTTTTTATAGTATTGTTTATTATAAAACATTACAAAAACATTGACAAAACTCAAAATAAAAGAAGGAAAAAGCCACCCAAAATTCTGCCATCCTACAAACCAAACTGTTTATATTTTTTTTCATGCTCCCTTTCAGTCCCTGTCCATATGCAGATGGAATTTTTACAGTTGTAATCACAGCACAGATACAGTTTTGTAGTCAGGTTTGTCTCCATCCGAATGTTCAATGCATTTTTCCAGTTTTCTCCATTACCCTCATTTTTACTACTAGGAACATTTCACCCCGCCATTCTTAGCAACCTTCCATGGGATCCTAAGAGGTGAGAAAGGATTAAAAAATAATAATCAAAAGAATTAGGAGACAGTTATTTTTAAGTTCCCTTTTTAAAAAATGAGTTCTATAGAATTCAACTTACATGGAAAGGATTTCTCTCACCCTTTGTTCCCATAGCTGGAAACCTTTATGAAAATAGCCCCATTTCCCTAGCACCGGGCAAGTTTTTGTTACCTTAAGAAAGACCCCTTGCAGGTATTTCCTCTTTACCTGGTTTGTTTTTAAGGCTTCCTTAGTATTTAGGAACATAAGCACATAGACATCTTTTCTTACAGCTGCTATAAGGATTTCTGTAACTTGGGATTTTTTTAAGTGTGGATGCTATGTACTGATTCCATAGGAATATGAGGTGGAAAACTCAACTGTCAAAAGGTTGGGTACCTGGATGCATCTTTCTACATACATGTTCATCTGTAGCTTTTCAGTCACTGGCATTCACACAGGACTGCACGTCAGATTTGTCTTGGGAGAGGAGCGGGGGGACTGGTAAAAAATAGAGACGCCAGCACTCTGAAATGGAATCTCTGGGCTGCTCTATGGACTGATGTTTGTAGCATTGTACATCACAAAACGTCAAGTCTCTCTCTCTTAATAACAGCTCTGATGATTATGATGGTTTGTGGATTTTAATGCAAATTGAAGGGAAAGGAAGTGTAAGGATTTGGAAAAGGGATGGACCACATGGGCTCTAGAAGTTCTATTGACATTTCTTTGTTTGCGCTAGGCAGGCCTGAAATAGGAATACCTGCTTCAATAATCCTAGCAAGCATACCGAAGTGAATAGTTTCCTGCCATGTGGTGACCCAACCTAGCCTCAATCCATACACAATCCTGGAACTCCAAGGGGCTGTGGTGGTAATATTGGAGCAGTATTTATCAAAACAATTCTTTTAATTAGAATGGTTTGACCCTGGGAAACTTTAACTTTTATGTCCTATATTATTAGAATTTTTATAAGTATGAATTCATGTATTAATTGATTTTTTAAAAATGAAGAGTGGGTTATACTCACTATGTGGTCCTTTATAAGAAATTAACTCATTCATAATCCAATCAGTGTCCTGGCACTTAACCAATCGGATTGCTAGTTCCTCCTCTTCGGGGGAGACAAAGAAGGGCAAGGACAGATTCTTTTCCTCTCTTCCTGCATTAGGCAAAGAAGAAGAATGGCTTTCCAGGAACAAAGACAAAAAGACAAAAAAACAACAACAAAAACAAAAAAAGAACACAACAAAAGCAAAGGAGTAGAGTGGTTCTACGTAGCCTGGTGTGTGTGAGGAGTTTATGATTCACTACCCAACTTCTACTTCCCAACCAGGGGCAATTTTGCCCACCAGGGGACATTCAGCAATGTCTGGAGTTACTCTTGGTTGTCAAGTAAGAGAAGGGAATACCACTGCATCTGGTGGGTAGAGGTGAGGGATGCTGCTAAACATCTGACAATGGCACAGGACAGCCGCCCGCCCCGATCCAGCCCCAAATGTCAGTAGTGCCCCAGATGAAAGACCTGCTGCAGCACAGTGTTAGGCAGTGAGCAGCAGGTGGAAAATAAACCTGAGGTTCACTGAAGCCAAACCACAGAAGGCTTGGATTTTATGCCAGGAGCTTAGTTGTTTTTTTGTTGGGTTTGTTTTACTGGGGATGATGGAGAGCCATTAAAAGGAAATTAACTGATCAAATTTGTATTTTAAATATAATACTCTGAAGGATAAATCAGAGGATGTCATTACTGGTGACAAGAGAAAGCCCTTAGGATGCTATTCTAAAAGCCCAGAGAGTAGGGTGAGGCCTGGAGCCTGTATAGTGCCAGAAGGGATCGAAGGAGAGAATAGGATCAACACACATGTAGGATGTAAAAGTCAGCAAGTGTTGGAAATTGAATGGATATGGGGAGAACAGGGAGGATATGGGGAGGGCAGGAGGTTACCAGGATAACTTCCGGGTTTCTCCTTCAGATTATTGGACCAATGATAGTTAGATACAGGAAGAGAAGATTACAGGGGGAAAATAATGTATCCAGACAAAAGTTTCACAAAGGTCTCAGTTATTCTTTGGAGGAGATAAAATAAATAACAGAATCCACTCATTCAACAAATATTTTAATAGTCACTATCTGTAAAAAAAAAAAAAAAAAAAAAAAAAAAAAAAACAATGCTTACCTGGAAAGATGATTGGGGATAGAACAAAACGTATACTGTATAATAAGCATTACGCTTTGTGTCAGACGCATAGTAGAAGCTCAATAACTGTAATTGTCCTTTTACTCTTCCTCCTTCTTTCGTGCTACTAGAGTTGCCCTTCTAAAAGTACAATTTAATAGGATGACATTAAGGTTGACAAGGACTTCAGTCAACTACTCAAGAAGATCAAAATAATTCTGGCAGCAGAGATTTTCTCTCTAAGGTTGACAAGGACTTCAGTCAACTACTCAAGCAATATCAAAATAATTCTGGCAGCAGAGATTTTCTTTCTTTCTTTCTTTCTTTTGCATATTTTTATTGATTCCAGAGAAGAAAGAAGAGGGGGAGAGAGAGAGAAACATCAATGATGAGAGCGAATCATTGATCAGCTGCCTCCTGCATGTCCCACACACCCACAACCTGGGGATGTGCCCTGACCCGAACGGTGACCTCCTGGTTCACAGGTCCACACTCAACCACTGAGCCATGCCTGACAGACTTAGCAGCAGAGATTTTCTTCTGGAGCCCTTTTCAGCCTCAAAAAACTGGATCTTATTTATTTTTATTTTTTTAGAGTTGATGAAAATAATGGATTCTGGCTATTGAGAATACTGGAGACAATAAAATAGAGGCAGCATGGAAATTTAAATGTTTTGGGTAGTAGTCAATTCATGCACGTGATTTTAATTTTCTCATACTGAAGTGACACCAAAGAAGATGAAGACCCCAGATTTGCATTGTCAGTGTCCCTGCTGGTGAGCCCAAAATATTCCTGCACATTTTATGTAATTTAATTTTTGGAAAGGAGAAGTCATTTTTAAAAGACTTATGTCTTAATGAGTCTCTGGATGACTTGATCTCAGTTATATTTAAGATAATATCTTGATAATATGGCCTGGAATTTCTTTCTGATCTCTTTTATGAAGCAAGAGATAAAAGTACTTGTTCTTGCATAGTCCAGCAACATAGTAGTATAATCACGATTTGTTAATATTATAAATAATTATTCATGAAGACTTCCAGAATAAAATATGTGCCATAAATCCTTTGTTATCATAAATGTATTTGTTCACTTCAGTTTAACCTTATCCCTAAAATCTCACTGATTTGAGCATGTGTAGGAACAGATGCAAGGACCGTTTTGAAAGCTCAAATTAAGTTTAATAGGAAAACGTTTACTTTCCACCAGCGTGAAATATCCAACTCAAGGTTGCAAATAAGCTCTGAAGAGCGAATTCTTCAGTCATCAGTAATGCTGCCCTTAGTTGGGAACGTAAGTGAAAGTCCACAGATTTATCCCGCAGCCTGCTGTTTACCGTTATTGGACTATGATTATAAATAAGTTTGACCAGATATTTTCCTCTTTCATTCAGACAGTTATTCCTGGAGAAGTGCCTTAAAAGGAAGAATCTGACAATTGCAGGTTTCTGATGGATGTAGCTCCGGTGGAACCGCTGCCAATCCTGG